GGGGTGGGAGTGGAGGGGTGGGAGTTGATGCTGTACTTGCTTATTTCATCTTTCATTTCCCCATATTGTGACGTGGACAGTGCTGGTCTTTTTTTTTAACTTTATTTATTTATTTTTAAATTTTTATTAGTGAAACACCATGAGGTAGAGTTGTAGACTTACAAATATTTGTGCTTGGGTTTCAGTTATACAGTGATCGAATACCCACCTCTCAAGCAGTGCCCATTCTCCACCACCGCCAGTCCCAGTATCCCTCCCACCCCCATCCCCCCATCCCACTCTACCACTGTGGCAGGGCATTCCCTTTTGTTCTCTCTCTCCTTTTGGGTGCTGTGGTTTGCAAAAGAGGCATTGAGTGGCAATCGTGTTCGGTCTATAGTCTACTTTCAGCATGTTTCTCCCATTCTGGGAGGATCCTCTCAGTACCCTTTATTTGGTGCTCCCTTCTCTATCTGAGCTGCTTTTTCCCATGCATGTGTGGCTGGCCTCCAAGCCATGGAGTAAACCTCCTGGTACTTATCTTGGCTATTCTTGGGTGTTAGTCTCCTATTTTGTTACTTTATGTTCCCCAGATGAATGCAGTCTTTCTATGTCTGTTCCTTTCTTTCTGACTATTTCGCTTTGCATGATACTTTTCATGTAGTACCACTTGTAGTAAATTTCATCACTTCATCTTTTCTAACAGCTAAATAGTTCTCCATTGTGTAGATGTAGTTTCTTTAACCAGTCATCTGTTCTCGGGCACTCAGGTTTTTTTAGATTCTGGCTATTGTAAAGAGTGCTGCAATGAACAAACAAGTGCAGATGTCACTTCCACTATACTTTTTTGCCTCTCTGAGATATATTCCCAGGAGTGGTATTGCTGGGTCAAATGGGAGCTAAATTTCTCATTTTGGAGAATCGTCCATACCGTTTTCCAAAAGGGCTGAAGCAGTCGGCATTCCCACCAGCAGTGAAGGAGGGTGCCTTTCTCGCCACATCCACGCCAGCACTGGTTGCTTTTGTTCTTTTGGATGTGGGCCAGTCTCTGTGGTGTGAAATGATACCTCATTGTTGTTTTGATCTGCATCTCTCTGATGATTAATGATGTAGAGCATTTTCTCATGTGCCTTTTAGCCATTCGGATTTCTTCTTTGAGAAAGTTTCTGTTCATTTTGTCGCTCCTTTTTTTTTTTTTTAATTTGTGAAACACCATGAGATGCAGTTGTAGACTTACAAGTTTTTGTGCTTGGGTTCAGCTATACAATGATCGAGTACCCATCCCACCACCAGTGCCCATTCTCCACCCCCACCAATCCCAGTATCCCTCCCACCCCCCCTCATCCCCCATCCCACCCTGCCTCTGTGGCAGGGCACTCCCTTTTGTTCTCTCCTTTTGGGTGCTGTGGTTTGCAGAAGAGGCATTGGGTGGCAATCATGTTCGGTCCATAGACTACTTTCAGCATGCATCTCCCGTCCTCGGTGGATCTTCCCAGCACTCTTTATTTGGTGCTCCCTTCTCCATCTGAGCTGCCTTTACCCCTAGAGTGTGCAACTGGCCTCGAAGCCATGGAGTGAACCTCCTGGAATTTATCACAGCTGTTCTTGGGTGTTAGTCTCTTATTTTGTTACTTTATTTTACCCAAATGAATGCAATCTTTCTATGTCTATCCCTCTCTTTCTGGCTCATTTCGCTTAGCATGATATTTTCCATGTAGTACCACTTGTATGTAAATTTCATGACTTCTTTTTTTCTAACAGCTACATAGTACTCCATTGTGTAGATGTACCACATCTGGGGTCTGGGTGAGGGAGACTTTCTAGTTACCCCTGTCTTCAGGAGACAACAGAAGCAGATCCTGAGAGGGCAGGAGACCTGGAGAGGCTGGGCTGATGGCCCGGATCAGCCCAAGAGAAATTCATCAGGAAGAATAGGAAGCTGTGTGCAGGGAGCTTCCTGGATCAGTGGCAGGTCCTGTCAGCCTGCAAGGGCAGTGCTCATCTCACCATGTGTGTCTGTGTTTGGGGGCTGGGTGTGTGCAGGGTCTGTGATGAGCTGAGGAAGATGTTGAAGAGGGAACCTAGGGTGTCTTGGACAGTTGAAGGCTGAGCTGCATGGCTCTGGATTGGACATCTTTGCCTCAGAACAGGAGAAAATCTCCTCTGGAATGGGAGATGTGTTGGTGGCACTCGACTCCCAGGGTTGTGTGTGCAGCTCGTTCAGAATTTTCTTGCAGGCCTGGTGCTCAGTTGGATTGCACCTGTCGGTCAGCGTTCCTGCTGCCAGCCACTGCAAGCCCTTCCAGCAGGACCTTGCTGGCTCCCCACAGAGGCTAGCTTCTGAGGCCCCATATGTGAGAGGCAGTCTCCCCAGGGTTATGAGGGGACACCCTCGTCAGTGAAGGGGGTCGCTCCTGCCTGGCAGTGCTGGGCATCGGGCCTGTACTCTTGCCCCGCCCCATTGCCGCGCTCCCTGTGGTCTCCAGGACACCCCTGGTGGAGTCTGGGTCTCTCTGAGGGTGAGAGGTCGGCAACAGAGTGTGAGCCCTGTTTCCTCAGGGCCTGCGTGCAGGGCTCCCTCCATGCACGTCTTAGGGGAGGCCCTGGGCTCTTCCCCCAGAGACTGACCCTGATGAGCATGTACTCAGGTGCCAGGGCCCTGGAGTAGGGCTGTGGGGGTGCCCGGGAGGACTGTCGCTGATAACCATTTACTGCCAAAGAGCAGATTTAAATGTTCATAGTTCTGGAGAATCTGGAGCTCCTCCAGCCACGCCCCGTGAGCTCCTCTCTGACCCAGCCCAGCCTGGCGCCAGCAGCAGAGGGAATGCTCGGCACGTGTTTGTCAACATGGAGCATTCCTCAGACGGATTATTTACATTTCTCTGTTTATGTGTTAGACTGTTTCCTGGTAGATAGCACAGAGACAAATAACCTCCAGCCTGTCCCAAAGGACACATTCCCAGCCCACGTCTTCCTGGTGTCTGTCTGTCCTGAGCGACGCGGGCTCTAGGTGGAGGGCTCTGGCACCTTCCTGCTGCTCCTGCCTGGTCTGGGGGAGCCTGGTTTGGTCTCGAAGCCTCTTTCCCTATCTAGAGTCTCTTCTGCGAGCACCAGTGGCTCTAACGTCCTGGCACCCAGTCTTGCCTCTCTGCTGGGCCCAACTGAGAGCAGAAGCCAGTCTGTCTGGCCTGGGTCCTTGGGGGATTGTGGAATTGCTGCTGGGGGGGGAGCGGGGTGAGTTACCCCCTCCCAACATGCTGCTCCCCACTGCACCCTGCAGATGAACCCGCTACCCATTTCCCAGGGACACCCCAGGAAAAGTGACCTACACTCAGGGCCCTGCTCAACCCACCCTCTCCTCAGCACCTGAAAGGGTTTCTTGGATCCTGCACATCACCACTGCTTGTGCCTGAGCTACATACAGTCCCTGCCTCATGACCCTCAGCCTGAATGTGGTCACGGATGTGGTCATCCCGGGAGCTGGTCTCAGTGGGCACTGCGTGCTGACAGTTGAGCTGTGGCAGTGAGTCTTCTCTGCCCGTCCTGCTCTCAACCCAGCTCTTTTCCTCTCCTTCCTAGGTTTTTAGCAACTCTCTGCCTCTGCCTCACTCCTGCCCCTGACCCCATCCTCACCCCCCTGTGTCTTCCTCTTCCTCACGTCTGCCTCTTGGTATCTCTCTGTCCCCCGCCACCTTTTCTCTCCAGGTCACAGTCTGTGCATCTGTCCTGAGAATAGAACTGACAGTAGTAATCAGCTTGCCTGCCTGCCTGCCTGCCTGCCTGCCTGCCTGCCTGCCTTCCTTCCTTCCTTCCTTCCTTCCTTCCTTCCTTCCTTCCTTCCCTCCCTCCCTCCCTCCCTCCCCCCTCCCTCCCTCCCTCCCTCCTTCCTTCCTTCCTTCCTTCCTTTCTTCCTTCCTTCCCTCCCTCCCTCCCTCCCTCCCTCCCTCCCTCCTTCCCTCTCTCCCTTCCTTCCTTCCTTCCTTCCTTCCTTCCTTCCTTCCTTCCTTCCTTCCTTCCTTCCTTCCTTCCTTCCTTCCTCCTCCTCCCTCCCTCCCTCCCTCTCGTTTTCTTTCTCTCTTTCTTTCCTTTTTTTTGGGGGGGGGTCATACCTGGCGATGCTCAGGGATCACTCCTGGCTGATCTACTCAGGAATCATTCCTGGCAGTGCTCAGGGGACCATATGGGATGCTGGGAATTGAACCTCGGTCGGCCGCGTGCAAAGCAAACGCCCTACCCGCTGTGCTATTGCTCCAACCCCTTCCTTTCTTCCTTTCTTTCTTTCTTTCTTTCTTTCTTTCTTTCTTTCTTTCTTTCTTTCCTTCCTTCCTTCCTTCCTTCCTTCCTTCCTTCCTTTCTTCCTTCCTTTCCTTCCTTTCCTTCCTTTCCTTCTTTTTTCTTTCTTTCTTTCTTTCTTTCTTTCTTTCTTTCTTTCTTTTCTTGTAAAACAGAAAGGTGTTTGGGTGAAAAAATGTCTACAGAGTAGACATTAAAATACAGAAAAACAGAAGTACAAGGGAGCTCAATGAGCTGAGCACTTTTTTCTTTTTTTCTTTTTGGGTCACACCCAGCGATGCACAGGGGTTATTTCTGGCTATGGACTCAGGAATTACTCCTGGCGGTGCTCGGGGGACCATATAGGATGCTAAAAATCAAACCCAGGTCGGCTGCGTGCAAGGCAGACGCCCTACCCACTGTGCTGTCACTCCAGCCCCTGAGCATGTTCTTCATTACAGCAGGTCCACGTTTAATCCTGAGCAACACAGGGAATGACCCCCAAGTGCTTCCAGGTGGCTCAAAACAAAACAATAATATTTGGGATAATGACACAGAGAATTTTCATTGCTCAAACATTTTCTGGAACCTTGGGGCCACTCTGAAGGCTCAGAGGAGTTTTGGTTTCACTGGGCTCAGGTATTTGCAGGCTGGGGCCCTGCTCTGGCACACAGTGTTGCTTCGTCTGAGGGACTATACTTGCCTCTGGCAGAGATCCTTTCCTCCTACAGTTTGCTTTTCCTTCCCAGGTGAAGTGCTACCATAAGAAGTACCGCTCAGCTACCCGCGATGTCATTTTCCGCTTGCAGTTCCACACGGGAGCTGTTCAGGGCTACAGACTTGTGTTTGGGAAGGAGGATTTGGACAGTGCCAGCAAAGGTGGGTCCTGGTGCCCAGGCTGCGGGTGGTGGGCCAAGGAGCCTCAGTGAGGGGAACGCAGGTGGCCCTGCCATGTGTTTCTTTACTATTCTCTCCTTTGCCTACTCATAAATCAGCCTTAACAAAGGGCATTGCCAACTTCAAGCTTTCTGTAGGCATTGGAGTGGCAGGTTTGGGAAGGGGGTGGGCTGGGAAGGGATAAAATTCACATGCCCTTTGGCCCAATGTGTTTTGTTTTTTAGATGACCGGTTTCCTGATAATGGGAAGATTGAATTAATATTCTCTGCCACTCCTGAGAAGATTCAAGGTGGGTGGAGGAGAGATGCTGGGGGCTGGTGACCACATCGGGTGATGGGTGTCTGTACACTCACCTTTGCACGTGTTTGGGAATTTTCATACCACTGCACTGTCCTCCCATTGTTCATCGATTTGCTCGAGCAGGCCCAGTAACGTCTCCATTGTGAGACTTGTTGTTACTGTGTTTGGCATATTGAATATGTCATGGGTAGCTTGCCAGGTTTTGCCGTGAGGGCAAGATACTCTCGGTAGCTTGCCGGGCTCTCCGAGAAGGGCGGAGGAATCAAACCCAGCTCACCTGCCTGGCCTCGCGCAAGGTAAACACCCTACCCTGTGCTGTTGCTCCAAAAAGAAAGCATTAGCCAATGGAGGAGCAAGTGATTTGGAGGTTACAGGACACAGTAGAATCCCAGAGACAACTTTCTAGAGGAATAGCGTAGGACCTCAGGAATGGGCAGTGCCTTAGTTCCTGTTTAACTCTTCCCTCAATAAACAGCCTCCTCAAAAGTTTCTTGTAGGGGCACACTCTGTGATCAAGGATCAAAATCAGGATCTTGTGCATGCTAAGCACAAACTTTGCCATTTGAGTAAAGTTTGGCCATAATAAATGGCCATAATAAATGTTCTTAAAGGAGATTGGAAGCCTAGTAGACTTTAAATACAGGTAAAATTTATCCCCAGTTCTTATAAAAATCCATTGAAATAAGAATCAACCCCTCACCCTTGAGGGGGGTGGGAGTGGGTGAGCCCCCCCCCCCCCAAACAGAGCCCCAGCAGCTGCAAACCTCCACACCCCACAGCCTCTTCCGTGCTCATGGCTAGACTCCACTGCTTGGGATGAACTACATCCAGAAATTGATTTGTTGAAGGACTCAGGTATGCGGGTTTTGTAACTGAGATCTCCAGGATCTCATGGAGATGGGGCGACCTCACCCCATCTCCCTGTTCTTCCAGAAGTCTGACTGACATGCCAGTGAACTGCTTCTGATGCCAGCTAAGCTCATTAACTTGCCATGATTCAAGGACTCATAAATACATCTCGAAAAAGATCAGTAAATTGCACAGATGCTTCCAAATCCCATGCTAGGCTCTGTCATCTGGTGCACCCAAAGTAAACATCCAGTTAAAATTTTTACTACAGCTATATTACCCCATTCAAAAACTTTGACTGTGTGACATGTCAAGTGCTATACCACTGATGAACCAGGAGTAGCACAGCAAATTGGATGGGATATAAAGTAGAAGGCAACCTATCTCCATTAAGAAATTATGAACACAACCAGGCTTAACTGGTAACATGTTAGTAATCTCTTCTTCAAGGGCTTAATGGCTCCATTGTGAGATACAACAGTTTTCACACATTCTCATCTAAGAAAATAATTTTGATCTGTAACTAATTGTAACAAGCAATATAGAATAAATTATTCAGGGCCTGCTACAGGGGCAGGCTTGAGGGGTGGATGGGATAACTGGAAATAATGGTGGTGGATAGGTGCACTGGTGGTGAGATTAGCGTTAGAATACTGAATGTAATAAATCATGAACAACTTTATAAAAAATAAATTAAAAAATAATCAGCCCCTTTATTATTTTTATTTATTTGCTTTTTGGGTCATACCCGGCGATGCACAGGGGTTACTCCTGGCTCATGCACTCAGGAATTACTCCTGACAGTGCTCAGGGGACCATATGGGATGCTGGAAATTGAACCTGGGTTGAGCACGTGCAAGGCAAACGCCCTACCCGCTGTGCTATCACTCCAGCCCCAAGAATCAGCCCCTTTAATGCCAAGGCAACAAGTCCATTCCCATCACCAAAACCCATATTTTGAATGTTAAAATTGCTTTTAAGAGCTATGGATGATAATCACTTTCTTTTTATATGAGGTCTTGTTTATTTACTTGTGAGCAGTGTTAAGATGTTTCGGTGTTTTCCCAAAAGGAGAGAGAGAACAAAAGGGAATGCCCTGCCACAGTGGCAGGGGGGGACGGGGGGATGGGGGGGAGGGATATTATCCTGGTGGTGGAAAATGAGCACTGGTGGAGGGATGGGTATTTGATCGTGGTATGACCGAGATCCAAGCACAAAAGTTTGTAAATCTACAACTGTACCTCATGGTGTTTCACTAATAATAAAAAAAAAAAGATGTTTCGGTGTTTTCAGACTAATGAGGAGTGTGGTTATGGGAGTCTCAAAGTGGGTTTTGTCTTCGCCTCATACCCATGTAAGCTGGCCCTTTCACACCCCTGGGTGCTTAATCTATGAAATGGGCTTTTGATCCTATATTGCAAGGACCACTATTCAACTTTCCTTTATATGGTGAGGCTATAGCTCACCTCCAGCTTGTTCAGAATAGTATTGGTAGGAAGAGAGGTGTTCCACATGCTCTGGGTAGATGCGGGAGATCCTGGGCTCTGGAGTTGACCTCTGTGTCCCCTTTGCAGGTTGTGAGCACTTGCGCAATGACCATGGGGTGACTGTGGACTTCAACACCGCTGACCCTTTGATCCGGTGGGACTCCTACGAGAACCTGAGTGCAGATGGAGAAGGTGTGTGTAGACCCCTGGGTCCAGTACCCAGAGCCAGGCCTGAGCAGCTTCTGTTCCCAGTGGGACATGTGAAGAGGCTAGAGGTGGGCTGTCTGCTCAGAGACCCAGGGGCTGAGTGGGGTGTCTAAGGTCTCCGTGAGACTCAGGCACGGGGAAATCAGCAGTAGCGGGCAGTGGCTGTTAGTAGGCTCCTGTGGCTTGAGTTGTGTTTTCTCTGTCCTCTCTCTCTCTCTCACTGTCTTTGTATGAGCTGTGAAAATTTGGCCATCGCAATCCTGCGTACCTTATGGAGTCTCTTGGGTACAGATATTTGGCTTTTATTTCTGTTTGCTACTGTGGACTTCTTGTTTGATGCCTGCAGCATTTTAATTTCCATTTTGTCTGTTTGGTGGGGGCACACCAGAGTTCTCAGAATGTGCTGTGGATACAGCACTTGGGGGCATTTCCATTGGTGCTCAGGGGTCTTGGCTGTGCCAGGTACTGAATCTGGGGCCCTCACATGTGAAGCATGAGCTCCATCTCCCTTAACCTGTTTCTGGACTGTTCATTTTCTATTCTCTGTTCACCTACAGAAATACTGAATGACTTAGTCATAGCCTGTGGCAGTGTCCTGAGTGGGGATGGGGCACAGGGTCTGTGAGAGAAGCTCCGGGCGACTGATTGAGAGAAATCAGGACTTCTGCATGTTACTCAGTCCTCACACATGCCTGTACACCCACCACAGAACAGACCCCAGGAGAAACCAAAGCTGGTCTAGGTTGTGCTAGTTTTCAGGGTTATGTGCTGTTAAGCTGTTAAGGGCGGGAAGCTGAGTAGTGTGCTGTTCTGAATCTCAGAGGAAATGGGATTTGCGTCTGGGTATTTGACCTGGTGCAGGTCTCCAGGTGAGTTGAGTCGTGTCCATCCCTTCCACCAAGCTGGCAAAAAGAGGTTCCCACACTCATTTGGCCACTTCTCTTTTCAAAAAAATTTCTCATCTCTCCTCTCCCCAACACCCTCCCCCATTTGATTGTTCCTGCTGCCCCCCAAATCTCTCCATCCCCCCCCAAGTGTGCTATTGTCAAGTTTGGAATGACTGCACTCTGGGCACTTGGCACCTGATTCTCTTCTCAGGTCCGGAAATGGAGTTTTCCTCCTTCTAGATTCACCTGAACAGGAAGGGGCTGGCAGGGAGAGAGAGGCCATGGGGGAAAGATTCAGTGTGACATCAGGGAACATGGCCCCAGGAGCAAGTCAGAAGGGCAGGCTGCTCCTGTCTGGCAGTCGACTCTCACCCTCAGGGAGGTATTGTGCTATTGAGTCCCATACAGGGAGCTCGTCTTTGCTTCTGGGGAAAAAGGGGTTCAAGCTCCTGTGAGTCTCTATTCACAGTGTTTTCAGTAACTCATCAACATTGCTCTGTGTGGTTCTGTCTGAAGTAGCTTATCTAAGATTTTTGTTGGCGTTCACATTGATTGTAGCTGACAGTGCTGCCACTCAAGCCAGAACAAAGCTATTTGCACGGGTGTTTGCTGCGATGCACCTCACAGCCCTTTGTCCTGAAGACTAGGAGATGGCACTTTAGGACTCAACTGGGAAATATTTTTAATAGAGAAATCAACATCAGAGAGGCAAAAAAGCGGAAGAAAGTAAATCAGCTCAGAGACGTATACACTTTGTTTATTTGTGGTCTATGCATGTCTGTATGTGTACATGTATAAATATGAGTTTATGTATGTATGCATAGGTATAAGCACACCATGTGTGGGCCAGAGACATATTACAGTGGGTAAGGAGCTCGCCCTGCATTTTGCCAACTTGTGCACAATCTTTGGCACCCCATCTGATTCCCTGAGCCCCAACAGGAGTGATCCCTGAGCAAAGAACCAGAAATAAATCCTGGGTACCACTGAATGTGGCTTCCCAAACAAAACAATACCAAACATACTGTGTGTGCACGCATGTTTGTATGTATAGAGAACGTGTGCTTTACGTATGTGTGCATCTCTCTATCTGCCTGCTTCAGCAGGATGTTCTGTGTGCCGTAACTGGACTGTGCCAGGAACCAGCGTAGTATTAAAGGTGAGTAGTGCCTCAGCACCCTAATCCGGAGCAAGGTTGCAGAGAGGAATATGGCTTTTGTAGGCAAGTGGCGCAGAATGCAGAGCAGTGCATGGACTAGAGCGGGTATGTCGGCCTGGGAGAGTGTGTGGCTTCACATGATGGGAGGTGTGGCTCTGCTGCGTGGACCAGCTCCTTGCTGACTGGCAATGGGACTCCCAAGTGAGCTGCCTGGCGGGTTCTGGAAGGTGACACCAAGTTAGTGGGGTTGGTGTCCTGGAGGCTCCAGACTCTGGTGGGATGGGAGACAGTGGAGAGGTGCCTGCAGGTCCCTGATGGGAAATTCGTGCCTAGACAAAGTGGGTCTGCCTGGAGTGTAGGTGACTTCCCATTTAAAGATGAGTGACCAGACTTCCCTGATTTAACACCACGCCTCCCCACTCCAGTGGCAAGCTTCCTACTGAAGTGTTCTTCCTTTCTGCTGCCTTTGGAGTTTTGTTATTCCTTTACAGTTTCTTCATATATTACATATGAGGGAGGTCATTCTGTGTCTGACCCTCTCCCTCTGGCTGACTTTTCTCAATACGAGACTCTCCAGATTCATCTATGTAGCAGGAAATTGCATGACTTTATATTTTCTTACTGTTGAGTAGTTTTTCACTGTGTAGATATACCATAGTTTCTTTATCCAACCATCTGTTCTTGGGGGCTTGGGTTGTTTCCAGCCAGTCAGCCCTTTTGGAAGTTATTATGATTATTGCTCAAAAAACTAACCATTAGGCTTCCCTTCCTAGCAGTCCCACTCCTCAGAATACACCCAATCCAAAAAAGACCCCTGCATCCCTTTGCCCCCTTTTCCTTGACTTGCCGCCTCCCAACCCACAGTCCCAGGGACCCTTCTGGTATGATTCTGTGAATCAGAATTAACTGCATGGAGTCATTTCTTTAGGAACTTCATGCTTCACTGTGTTCAGGGCTCATCTTACCTTCCACAGTGCCTGCTGCACTGGGCATCGGAACTATGAAGAAGTAAATGAGTGTTAACTTGGAGAAAGATTGGATTCGGTCAGAAAAGTCAGTGTTATATTGGCAGTAGAGTGCTGAGTCCTCCAGCCCTGAGATGCTGTGAAATCAGAGATAGCCCCTAATTCCTACTGTTCCAGGCAGGCATGCATGGTGAGCCTACATGCACCCAGTGATAGAGACACAGGGCGGACAGTGAGTGGCGACCCAGAGACATAGCTTGAGTGGACCAGATCCTCGTCCCCGGCTGTGCTGCCCTAGGGCTGGGGTCTGGAGCGGGAGTGGGTGTGGGTGATGTGGTTTGGGAATCTTGGAGGCTAGCTGAAGCTTAATGTGTGTTGGTTCCTCCTTCTGTCCCTGCCCTCTGTGATGCGTTCCTGCCATGCCTCTCTCTGATGGCTGCACTTGAGATTTGGGGTCCCTGCCTGTATGGGTTGCTGGGACCCCAAATCTCAGGATGCCTGGATGAATGTGAGCAGCACAAGACCCTGTGATTAGGCTGTGGCAGGGGCCTGTTTTCATGCCTCTCCCTTCCAAAGGCTTTCTTGCAGACAAACTGAACGAATTGCATCTCAACCAGACTTCTCTGAGCCTGCACACTGTGTTGAGAGTGTGAGTCAAATTCATACCAAAGCCTGTGAATTTCCTTCTGCGTATCCTGTGAGGAAACTCATTCTTCCCATTGCCAGGAAGAGTAAAATCTGTGCTCCATTCTGAGACTGTTGATCCCATCACGCATCACTCCTAGCTAGGGACTTGGAACTTTTGATGATGTCACCACGAAGGGAAAAAAATCTTTTATTCAGCAAGCTAGGAATCAACTTGCAAAGTGTGTAAGAGACTTTTACATCTAAGTCACTCCTGAATGAAATAGGTAAGAGCATTAGGAAGTGGAAAAATAATCTATGTCCACACCAAAGCATTCTGCAGATTCACTGTAATCCCCATCAAGTTTCCCCATCATTCTTTCAAGACTTCCACAAAGCCTGCTGAAGTTTGTATAGAATCATAAAACTTTCTGTGTAACTAAAGTGATTTTGAGAGAAATTAAGATGGGAGGTGTTGCATTTCCTGACTTTAAATCATAGTATAGGACTAAAGCAATAGTGCGGTGTCCAAGGTCCTTGTTTTGCACTCAGCTGACTCGGGTTTGATTCCCTGCGTCCCAAATGGTTCCCTGAGGCTTCCAGAAATGATTCCTGAGGAAGAGCCAGGAGTTAGCCCTGAGCACAGCGGGATGTGGCCCAAAAACAAAAGAAAAAATAAAAGTAAACAAACTACAGTATAAAGTTACAGTAATCAAGACTGTGTGGTACTGGGAGAAAGGCAGACTCTCAGACCAAGTGCAACAGAATCAGAACCCAGATCTACCCTCAGGCTTATGGATAGTTTGAGGTGAGTGAATGAAGTGGAGAAAGGAAAATCTCTCGAACAAATGGAAAACGCTGGGAAAATTGGATAGCCAATGAAAATCATGAAATGACCCATAGCTCACACCATTCAAAGTTGGACTAAAGAATTTAAGATTATACCAAAATCCCTGGGCTGGAGCGATAGCACAGCAATAGGGCATTTGCCTTGCACGCAGCCAACATGGCCAACCCGAGTTCGATTCCTCCACCCCCTCGGAGAGCCCGGCAAGCTACCAAGAGTATCTCGCCCGCACGGCAAAGCCTGGCAAGCTCCCCGTGACGTATTCGGTATGCCAAACACAAGTAACAAGAAGTCTCAGGATGGAGATGTTATTGGGCCCACTCGAGCAAATCGATGAACAATGGGAGGACCGTGATCCGTGATCCAGAATCCCTAAAATACAGTGACCAACAGGTAAAGTCTCTAGGGTACGACCTCCAGAGGTGCCTAATAATTTGCAAAGATAACAAGTGAAACCAAACAAGATGATATCAAATAAAAAGCTCTTGCTGACAAGAAACTTG